ATCCCTGACCCTTCGCAACAGGGACGGTGGATTTTCACCCGTTTCTAAAATATTTCCAAAAATATCTCCAAGTATTTCTATTAAGATGAAACGGAATAGAAGAGAACTGTGAGCTCCTCAGTGCTCTCTGAGCTCGGTGGTTTTCTTGCAGACATTTCATTACCAAACTAGGTAACCTCATCCGTGCATGGGTCAAACAGGTGCCCTTTTCTCTCTTTTCCTTCGCAACGTCTTGCTTTTTGTTTTCAGTCTCCCTGCTCAGGAATATTCTTTCTGGTACTTTCCCTCCCAGATCCGACCAACAGGATCCCATGGGTGTGGGAGAGGGCAGGTCCTTGGCCGGTCCAAGGGACCCCCCGTTCTTTGCCTTCAGAGGGGAACCTTCCACCGTCTGTGGTTACTGACCACTTGCTTGTCATATGGACTATCTGAACCCCTCGACTCCTAAACAGTTGAAAGCAAACTCACGATTGGACTTTTTAAGCGTCACTGAATCCTGTGCACCCGGTTACAGAAGTGGAAGGGACCTTGGAGGTCTTCTAGTCCAACCCCCTGCCCAAGTTGGAGACCTTACTCCAAGGGTGTTCAACCTTGGGAACTTTAAGACTTGTGGACTTCAGCTCCCAGAATTGCCCAGCCAGCACGAAGTCCCCGAGTCTTAAAATGGCCACGGCTGGGCACGGCTACCATCCCAGACCAATGGCTGTCCAGTCTCTCCTTAAAAGCTCCAGGGATGGAGCCCCCACGGCTTCTAGAGACAAGCCCCGTCCGGAAATCCCTCCTTGTTTCTGTCCTTCTTAAGCTTCCGTCGGTGGCTTCTTGTCCTGCCTATCTTGGGGAACAGGGTGACCCCCCCCCCCGCCCCCCACTTCTCTTCTCAAACATGGGGAGGCCGTTCCTTCCCCCAAGAGTGAACTCAAAGTGACCGGCCAGGGAAGGTGCGCAAAGGTCTCGAAGGACGCCCCTCCAATCACCCCCACTCAGTCTTTATTGATGTCTTAGACAAGCCTCAAGGGTTCAGGTCTTCAGGCAGACTAGCCGAATACAATAAATAGTCACAACGGAAGCCACGGATTTTGTTAGAAAACTACACAGTGAAGTCGAGGAACCTCCTCCGGGGTTCAGTCCAAGCAGCCCAGCCTGGCCACCGAGTGCAGTCGGGATCTTAACGGAGCAAAGTTTTCCAAGGATTCGAGAGGAGGGAGAAATTGTTCCAAGAACTCCTTCCCCAAAGAGGGACCCAGGGAGACATGGGACCGGGGGGGGGGGGGGGCTAGAGGGGGCAGCAGACCCTCAGAAGGGGATCAGGCAGGAGGGGGGGAATCATCAAAGCGGCTCAGGCTCGGCACGGCTGAACCTGCCTCCTGAGAGGGAGGGGGCTGAATAAGGAGCAGCCCCTCGCACAGCTACCCAAAGGCACTTACAGGTTCTGGCTGCAGCCGCCGGACCCCGTTTTTGTCTGCTTCCCTTCCCCCCCCCCCCCCCCCAGCGCTTGACCTACTACCCTCCCAGTCCTGGCTTGGCCGCTTCCAAGGGAAGGCAAGGGCCGGGTGGCTACCCAGTTTCCTTCAGGCCCAGCGCCCCGGCCTGGCTGCCCCGGACAGGGACCTAGAGCTACCTGACCTAGCGGGGGGGGGGGGAGAGGCGGGGGGAGGCCCAGGGGGCTCCTTAAGAGCCGCACATCAGGCACTCGTCCCGGTTCTCCAGGGAGCAGACCATGGCCGCCGTGTTCCTCTCCTTCTCCTCCTCCTCCCGGGAGGCCTTCTCCTTCAGCTTCTCCTTGTTGAGGGTGAACTGGATGGGGTTGGCCGCCGGCTTGGTCCGCAGGTAGTACATCCCTGTCTTCAGGCCCTGCGGGAGGCAAGCGCACATCAGCCCAAAGAGCCACGGCATCCAGGCTAGAAAGCAGGGGGGGGGCGCGAGTTCTAGTCCCGCCTTAGGCACCAAAGCCAGCTGGGAGACTTGGGACTCATCGCCAGGAGACGGTGAGTTCTAGTCCTGCCTTAGGCATGAAAGCCAACAGGGTGACCTTGGGCCAATCGCCAGGAGACGGTGCTCTCTCAGCTGGGCTGCTTCCTTGCAGACGTTTCATGACCCCACTGGGGAACATCGTCAGGGTTCTGCTTTACAGCTGGCGGGGGTGCCTGTTCGGGGGTGCAATTGGCTTCACGGGCCCCCCCAGCCGGCTCCTGGAGCTGCCCTGGGAGGCTCCCCGCTCCCCCCGCGCTCACCTCTTTCCAGCCGTAGAAGTGCATACTGCTCAGCTTGCCGTAGTTGGGCTCCGCAATGTGGATGTTGAGAGACTGGCTCTGGTCGATGAAGGCGCCCCGGTCAGCCGCCATCTTCAGGATGGTCTTCTGGGAGATCTCCCACACCGTCTTGTAGAGCTGCTTCAGGTCCTCGGGGATCTCCGGGATATTCTGGAAGGCAGGAGAGCTGCAGGACGGGCCTCCTCCCAGGCGGCTGGGAGCGGCCGGAAAGCTCCGCTCGGAGCAGCAGCAGAGAAAGCGCCGGGAGCCCCAGCGGCCTCTCGGCAGGCAGCCGCGGACAGAAAGCCTGGCGCCAGGGGCCCCTTTAGCCTGGGCAACCCAGCAGGGAAGCCAGGAAAGCTGGTTTGGCTGATTAAAGTTCTGCACCGCCTGTCTCA